TAGAAAACAATCCTTTGATAAACATTGCAAATATATAATTTATTTAATATAGCTACTATAGTTAGAAAAGTTAGGTACATGAAGTTAAATATGAAATTTGTGATTACCAAGTTTCAAAGTGTTGTAATAAATTATACTAGCGAATATTCAATATATTCTAAATCAATGTTTTCGATTCATAGAATGGTTCTTGTTTTGGAAATGTAAATGTCAAAAATTGTTATTTATTATTTTACAATAGATACCTAGTATCGTAAATCGATTTTTCATACATAGAAGTACGCTAATAATAATAATAATAATAATAATAATAATATTCACAAAATATATTATACACAAGGAAGCTATGCAGGGCACAAAAACGGGGTTTTGAGGATTCGTCTTTCTTTGATATCACCTCATCACGACATAACGATATATTATTACTGTATGAAAGCAATGATAAATCACCGAATACGAAAAACCATTTTGACCGTAGCTCAGGTAAAATTGCATTTACTTTAATACTTCTTCGACGTTGCATTTTTCATGGTCGCAATATTTTCTTACGACGACATTGAAAAAGATATTTATAATTTTCCAATAAATGCATAAGTTGACTTTTACAATAATATATTATTTTCTATGGACATTTTAAACATCATTAGAGGGTTCGGGTTTTTAAAATTGTAGTTTTTTTAATTAAATAAATAGTTAGCTACCTAATAGTTTTTTGACAAAAAAAAGTAATGTTGGATACATCGTGATTGTTACAATATTGGATAGAGATAAAAATAATCTTTATACGTTTTTCAAAACGAATCCGCCATAAATTGAATTATATCCGAGCGATTTTTATTATTTTCTAAATACTGGAAATTCATAATTGTGATTATATATATACCTCTACTCTAAACTCAAAAGTGCCACCATGGCACCATCTGTACGGTATTTACAATCGATAAGAGAAACCATAAGAAACAAGTTGGGCACTACTAGCAAAAATAATGTTCATTGACTCGAGAGATAAATAAAAAATGAATTCTAAACGTAATGGGTAGGTACTATATTCGCCCTCGCGCCAAAAATCATAAATCCTTCATTTCGAATTTTCTTTTATCGTCGGAAATCAGAAAAATTTGAGATTTCGTACACCGCAGCATACTATAGATAAAGTATTTCGATATTTGATTTTTCAGCATTCCCATACAATAAAATACATAACAAAAACTATATTCTGAAGTTTTGAACTACAAAATACATTATACATCGAGAAAACTAAATACAATATATCAGGAAGCTAATGTACCGCATACCTATTGCAGGTTGAATGGCTTAGAAATTGTATTTTTTTCGACTCTGGCAATTTGGTCGTTCGCCGAGTCGATAACCGATCAGAGTTTATATTATATTATTATAATCACATACACACGTATAATACCAATAATGTGAATAATGTAATCAAACTCATCTACGTTCCACCGGAGTCCGGACTAAACGAAAATATTTTGTTTACGACCGTAATAATTTGTTTCCATATAATGTTATGTACCAACCTATTTGTTGACACTATACAGTGAAACATATAGACTATTATTATTATTATTATTATTATTAATGTTATGCATATGAACCGGAGCGACAATCAGGATGACGCGGTTGTCCGGAGGGGGAGGGGAGAGAAGGTGTCAAAGAGACGAAATCTACAACGCGCACATGTTTGATACCTACACATAGTGTGGCCGTACAGGTATACGAGTATTATAGTGTACATGATTGAGGTTTAACAACAATATTTGTTTGCATATTTCGTTATTACACCGTGTGTCCGTGTCTGAGTAAAACGCCCTAATACGGCTAAACAATAAAATTATGATTTTTTTCCTCCCAACGCCCATTAAATTCAATTTATTTTAATCAATAATTATTTAGCAGTTGAATAATATAATATAACTAATAGTTGATAACATGTAATATAATAATTATTCGTATCTAACTAGTTATAGAGTGGATACAAAATAAAAACATCAAGAATTATACCGATGTTACCGTAATACACTCGGCGTGTATATAAGATGGCAATAGGTGTACAATATACAGTTCATACAAAATAATATTAAATATATTATTATGTTTGATATTCGCTTGAGAATTATCTCTGTTTACCGCAGTGCAGTTTGTTTTTAAAGATTAACTTTTATGAATATTCGATATTATAAATTGTGTAGTACCTACTGCATTGACAATGATATTTTATTTATTATTCTGTTACGTCAAAACTGCAGCAGGTACCTACCCACACACAATATATTTTTGGGTCGGAATTCTTTCTGTACAAAAACACTGAAGATGATTTTCCGGCAATATACCCTTTTCACGCGTAGGTATATAGTACTCTATATATATACTTAAAAATATATATTCTGGCGGTATTTATTATAATGGCGTGCGTTCTACGATGAAATATTTTTGAAACGCCACGTTGGATGAAAAGTACTTTTTATATATTATACAATATATTGTTGTAATATATAAATATATTAAAACTATTTGTACAATTAATCCCATCGTTATATGGTGATCAATAGGGATTTCTATGCACTTTGCATTGTATTTCAAAGCTAGGTGACACTCGTTTTTATGTATTTTTAAATCGGAATAAGACGTTTATATAATGCAGATTTTTGTTTGACAATTTTAAATTTAAAGGTGATTAAAAAAAAATAGAGCATTTATGGCTTTTGAGCATCAAACATCAAACACTAAAAACTATTTTATTTAAATAATTAACAATTTGCAATAATTTGCTATCTGGGGTTGTATCTAATCGAATATTATTATTTTTAAATCAATTTTTGGAACGAATCTGTAAAAATTGAGATCACGAGTGGCAATTAAATGAGAATAATTTTTTATCAGATTAATTGATCTATATAAAACGCTTGATTAAATTCTGCAGTTCTTCAATTTTTTTTTTTTTTTTTGAGTGAAAATAATAATATTTTTAGTTCAAAACTTGTTTAAAATAGAAAAAAAAATGATTAAATTATTTTGAATGTTTAGGCCGTAACTTTAGGGCATACAGCAAAAAAAAAAATAATGATTTTCTCGCATTTTTTTAGGGAATTTCATTCTGGTTAGGTTATCATATAATTGGTCTTATATTTATTAATTTAAATTCATCAAACTGTCTATGTGTATTGGATAATATATTAATAATATTAATATATAATTATATTGTCATCTTAATTTTCACGGCGGAAGAGCAGCTGAAAGTCGTCTTAATAACACGGCCGAGCTGTAAAACGTCTGTTGAGTCGTAATACAATAACAGTTATTAATAGGTAGTATCCTCAGATACTATAAAATAAAAAAAAGCTAAAATATTATAGAAGGATTGGTCGTTCGTGGAAATCCGCCCCGTGTTACCCAACGGCTTCAGGAAGAGGACATTTTGTTCGCAAACGTCTGAATTCAAAGAACGGAAGTTTCTTGTGAAAATAAAAAAATAAATTAAATACACAACTACGTACTATATAATCTACATCGTTTAATGAAACAGCGTGGTATTTAAATTTTAAATGGTTTACCGCGAAGTTAGTATATAAATACCGTATTGTATTTAAATGTAATTTTAACGAAACCAATATTCGATTACCTGCGGGCTTGGCATTTCTGGAAAGTTTTAATTACTTGCCAACAACCTTCGTATCGTCTTTGTGTAAGTGTACATAATAAGTACATAACCGTTCGGCACATGACATCATCATATTGCCCGGTCTCAACATAAATAAACCAATAACATAATAACAATAATATTATTGAGTCTAGATGAACCGAAAAATGAGCGTAACTATTTAAGTATTATACATCTCCACATATTTCCAAGAATTTTCCATTTATTACAATATCTCGCACAACGTTCCACGTTGTCGGTCATAACCGTAACACTCGTTGTAATCAGTAAACTTTTCGACGTTACCTAACCGTTTTTTTTCTTTTCCGCTTCGCGCTAATATTTTTACAATTACAAAAGCGTCGGAGTCGTTAGCCAATGTTAACGCAAAACAACACCCTCGGGCGACCGCGTCGCAATGCAATGTAATATAATCGCGTAATCGTTTGTCTGTGTGTGTGTATATTTGAAAAGGGTCTCGACTTCTCGAGAGCAAATTCATAAAATATGTGTATGGTGTACCTTTATTATATATATATATATATACTGCATGGCGCAAGCTTTAACTTGCATGTTTTTGTTATCATATTAATAATAATAACTATTATTATTATTATTATTATTATTATTATTATTATGACTTCCTCACGACGACGTCACTAGGTTTTTTTGTGTGTATCAGGAGTCAAGAAAGGATAATAAGGATATATGGATATAAGGATTATAGGAATTAAATAAGAATATCACCATATTGCCTTTTTATTCTGCTTCCGGCTTCAGGGTTGCTGCTTTGGCTTGGAGATTAAAACTAAGCGGGTCCCTCCTAAAAATTATGTACACTTATTTTTTGTCGATATGTTATTTACATATTTATGAAAAATAGAAAATTTATCTACAGGAAATGATTCAAAATATAAAAATTTATATAATAATAAATAAGCACGTACATTTTTCAGTTGTAGGTAACTGATATCTGATATTCATGTAAATAATTCAAATTTGGAGCGAAGCTCTCAAATAAATCGTTGTTGTTTTTCTTTGGATCAATTTAAAATAGGCACCTACCGGTTACGCGGTACTTATTCATTGTATGCTATATAATAATATGTACGCTCTCTCGTTTCTCTCTCACCTTATTGAATCTCGGAGAGAAATGAAGAAATCAGAACGGTTTTTACCATAGCTAGGTATTTATATTATTATGATATTCGCGTCTCACGATATATATTTGTATTTCTCTCACCCTGTCTTAGACATCGTTATTATTATTATTTTTAGTATTCGTGAACAACAGTACAATGACTATATTATATTTTATTCTTTCATGTGTGTTTTTCTATCGCAGGCAACTCAGGAGTGCGGTGCACGACGTGCTTTCCGGCCGGTCGATTGGCCGCCGGGCCAAAGCCAACGCCGAAAAACCGGACCTCAGCCTCGCCGTCCGATTCGACATCATGAATTCGATCGCCAGCAACCGACACGCACCAAGTAAGTCACACACGTTTTTCGCCAGGTAATCCGTCGCCGGACGTTTGCCAATGATAATAATATTATGATAATAAGTTACGCCTATTGCCTTCATATACCATCTCGTTGGTCGATTTGTTGTATGCGACCATCATACATGCGTGCCAGCATACAATACAAGTACACAATTTTATTTTACATTGTACAGTGTTGAGCGTAGTGTTAAAAAACGCATCCGACGTAATAGCATTATATATTATTATTGTGCCTATATACGTTTATGGCTGAATGGGCAAGACGCGAAATCCGAATGAAAAATCAATAACTCCACTCCATCATATCACTCAGACTCTGCATCGCCCGTTCGCACTGCTGCACGTCGAATTGTGCTGGTTCTTTCCCCTGTTAACCTAGAGTGCCTTGATAGAGAGAGTGTGGCCATACGGAGTGATAACATAAGATAAGAGATAAGCCCGCCATTAGTTGGCTAAACTAATATTTCAGTATATACCAGTTATTAAGATATTACTTATTATTTTATAGTTTTCATTCCAAATTGTTCTTATTTCTTCTCAAATATTAATTTTTAAGATTTATTATATAATCTTAATTAATAACATGTTATTGGACACATACTTGTTATTATACCTATTCTAAAAGTATAGAATATTTATTTTAAAAAGAACAGTTACAAATTAGCAAGTAATATAATTTATAAAAAATATTGCAATGTTACATATTATTGCAGTAAGCGATTTATTGTAAATGTTAACATTTAATCAACCGTAACTGATCAAATTATTATTGATAGTGTTAAATGTTTACCATTTTATTAAATGTATAAACAACATTTTATTAAAAAATAGACAAATTAATATAATTTGAAATATATATTTGAATTTTACAAAAGTTTTTTATTTTTTTAGAAAATTGGTGGCTGAAGTGGTCTCTTGCTATAATGTCACATTTTAAATAAACTAACTTATGCCTAGTTGCATGAAAAATGTATTAATTTAATGGTTCAATAAGTAATAAGTAATAACATTTAATGGACAAATAATAGGCCACTAAATCATGTTTAAGGAACCATTAGCTCACTATTGATTCGTTAAAACTTTTGTGATTTTTCATGCAACCCTGCATTAGTGATTGATTTTACAATATATTGTAAAATTTCATATAGATTTAAAATAATTTCTTAATTTATTTTTCTGTAGACCGGTTGAATAGATGAAAATTGCCAATCCATTTCACTCAAAATATGTATAGGATTAGTTATTTATTTAATAAAAATTAAAAACTAAAATTGGAGACTTCTGGATTGATTGAATAAGTAATGACATCCCTCAGTAATTGCACATCTGAAAATTAAAGGAATACTTTAAAACCAAACCAATGTATATAAATTATATTATCAAATTATACATACCTAATACTTCTAGCTTGAAAGCACTATTAATTAGTTGCATTATATTCTTTCAAAAAGTAGAAGAAAATTATGTATAAATTAAATATGAAAGTAAAGAATTTTAAGCAAAACAAAACAACATGTCTAATTAGAATATAATAGTTTAATAGCCAATCGCAAATCAGAATAAAAACAGCGTAATAATAATTATAAGTATAATTTTTAATTACAAAAGCTTAAACCTAAAGATAAAATCTATTTAAACTTAGATGTATTTAAAAAATAATAATATTTCTAAATAAAATAATATCTGCTTGAAATTCAATTTAAAAATAATAATGTTCTATGTATGAGAAGCAATAGATTTGCTACCATATTTATTAAGAAGCTTAAGTTTTTTTTTCCCAGCTATTTTTAAGCGGAAAAGAACAAATCTAGATATAATAGTATTCTTTAAGTTATGGCAATCTGGAATGTGCTGAATTTCAATTTTTTTCATTTGTTCAATAAAAAATGTTTTGATATTACAATTTTGATTTTTCACAGTATTATAGAATTTTCTGAAAATATTTTCCATGGCCAAAAAATAATTAAATGTAATTTCGTTACAAAAAAACAAGCATCCTTTTTTATAGCGTTTAAGTTTAGATAACTTTGCAAAAGAAGCATTGATGCTATTTTTGGAGCCCACTGAACTCAAGCAAGCAGCACAAATTTTTGTTTTTTTTTTAATACTAAATATTAGATAGCCGCATACATTGTAAAGAGAGTTTAACTCACCATTGCAAAGTTTGATATCAGGTTCATTTGTTTCTGATGGCAGATGAATGTTTTGTAATTGGTTTTCAATCGGTTTAGTGTCTAAAGTGTCCAAAAATCCCGATAAAAATGTTCTGTCATCTTCCTCATAACTCCCTGTTGATACTTCCTTTAAATATTGAGATACAGATAACAATTTTAAATTATTTTTCAATTGCAATGCATTAGGTACTACGTTCTTTGATCTCAGAATACTAAATAGATTTTCAAGGCAATCCTGAGTAAATCTTGAAGTCAAGAGAAATTTAAATCCTTTATCAATCAAGTATATTTTTTGAATATCTAAAATTGATTTTGTTGCTAGTATGGAACCAGTTTGAGATGGTTTCCACATTCTTTTATGCCCTACTTCTAGATCCGTCATAATATCTATAAAACTATTTAAAAATTGTATGGTTTCTTCATAAATGTCTGGTTTCAATTTGCTTAAAGCTAAAACTGGATGTCTTGACGTCATCAAAGAAAACCATCTATCTACTAAGTTAATAAACCAAGCAATTGTAAGATATTCTGGCTTATTCAATTCTTCAGATAAGAATCTTAAGGCAGTATATACGTCATGATTTATTACATTTGTCGATTTTCCAACCTTCATTTTTTGAAAATGGTTTGGCATCAAATCTTGTTCAGACAGTTTAGGAACTAATAAGAAATCTAATTTTTCTTGATACTGAATAACATCTTCAATATGATTTGAAGAAATTTTATTTGTAGGAAGATTGTAGAGTTGCTGTATTTTATTGCTAATAAATATTTCTTTATTAATTATTAACATATTCTTAATATTCTTAAAAAGATGAGGAACATCTGGAATAATAAACAATTTCCTATTGTCATCAAGGGGATGAGGTAGAAAGTTTGACAATTTACAGAGACGCCCAGCAGTTATATTCCATTTCCTCCACAAACTTTGGTTACTAGGCCCCATATCCGATATAAGAGCAACAACATTCAATCCTATAGATTCTGTTTTGGAAATTATATCAACTACAATATCATGATAAACATTGCCATTAACAGACTTCCCGGTAAAAAAATATGCTACTGTTTGCTTCCATCTTGTACTTATGCCACCAAGCATAAAAACCAAAACACTCGCGGCTGTTCCTTCATGATGTGGTAAAGTTACTTGTCCAATGTTTTTATTTGAAGACACATCAAATAAATTTGATGGTGTTATAGCCATTTCGTCCATTATTAAAACACACTCTTTTTCATGATCATTTTTAAATGTTTGAATTTTTATTTGCAAAAATTTAAAAACTTCATGTAAAATTCCTGGTTCAAACTTTAAATTATGAATTCTTCTTCGCAATGTTCTTAAAGATGGCAATGGAGTTTTTTGGTTAATTAATTCTTTATAGCCATTGTTACCACAGCTAAATTTAAGTTTTAATGCCTTTGTAATTGTGCAGTTTGACCATTTCATAAATTTTGTTGATTTCCTATTCAACGCTTTAATTTGATCACTATTGAAGACAGAATTTAGGATTTTAGTGTTATTTTCATACATTTCTAATTTTTTAGTCACATATTGAAGGCGATTTTTAAATATATTCATCTTTGCAACAGAATTTTTATACTGTCGTTCATAATTAACCATTTTCTTTAACATACTTTCATAACTAATTTTACTTTGGTTTACCTGGTCTTCCTCAATTATAGTTATGTTATCTGATATATACTGATTTTGTATATTTTCTAATGCATTTTCTTCAGGGATATTTTTCTTCAAAGGAGATTTTATTTTCCTTACTGTAGGGGGTTTTCTTTTTGGTAATTCTTTGGTAAAAAAAAACTTAGTAGGCACTGCGTCACATTTTAACCGTTTGCTACCATCTTCTCTTGTTTTTTCCCACATATGATCTTCAAAATGAACCTTAAAATCATTAATGAATAATATGCAGTTTTATATATCAATACTAACTTAATTATATCTATATGTATTACTTATTAAATAGGTAACTGCAAAATAAAACATCAATAAATATTAAGTTAAACGGACAATCCATATTTTTTACAGCCTATTTTATATGTAACCTACTTAACTAAATTTTTTTTAAGAATACTATTTATTTTATTTATTAATTTCACTAAAAATAAATATATTTTGAAACATGGCAAGTTAAATGATTAAATAAAATATAAAATAATTACTAATATACAATATTATATATGAATAAAATTAAGTAGGTACCTACTTATTATGCACAAAATATATTCTGGTAAATACACATTAAATAATAAATACATATACCTACTTATATTAAACTTTTTTAAATTACCTAACTATAATTAGTTATTTAAATATACCTAGGTAGTCTACTTACTTCACACAAGCATGAGTAATTTGTCGGTACCCAATTACTCCTCTTCATTTTTACAAGCCACATTTTCCTTCTGGCAGCATCTTTAGGGAAATGTTTCATCAGAAATCCTTTTTTGTTTGAATTTGTACATCCAACTGCTGCACACCCAGGCATTTTTCAAATTGTAAATTGTAAATTTTTAAAAAAAATCTATGATTGTGTATGTAAAAGTATCTTATCAAAAATAAAAGTAGCCAACTAATGGCGGTAAAATATTTCGTCCAATCAGAGCTACTCTCCGTATGGCCACACTCTCTCTATCAAGGCACTCTATGTTAACCTATTCTGAGAAATCCACAATTTCTGAAGCGACCGTGTTGTTTTTACTCATAATATACGTCTACCGTCCACCGATTCGGTGAACTTCTATATACCTGATAATGTTTTCACTGCCTAAAATTACAACACGTATTGGACGGTTGTACAGATTTTCGTAAATTTCTGGTCTGCAGATAATGGATTACACTGTGTAGACACGGTTGCATGAAAATTCACTTCCATCTTAATGTCGTACATTTTCACGTAGATCGTGAACCTACCATTGTATGCTACCGTTATAAACTATAGTCGATTCAGATGGAATAGTGTTAAGATTTTGGTTCGAAATCTTGGTATCCATACAGTTTTTTTCGTCTGACTTGTCCATTAAACTCCATAATGTAATATAAAAATTATTGTTTGTGAAAAAAGCCTTTAGAAATTACGGTTTTATAAGACGTGATATGAGCCAACGAGTCTCAAGGTTCTTTATTTTTGATTTGATATACGTATTCTAAATTAAAATTGGTTTTTTTGGGTAT